TTGATTAAGGGTGAATTCAGTCTGATTGAACTGCTTCACCGCTTTGTCCCAGAACTAAAGTCATTTGAATCCACTGAGCTGTTTAGGTACAAAGTCTTGTTCATCTTTGATGGTCTGGATGAGTGTCGCCTTCCTCTAGATTTTCGGAACAATGACAGCTGGTTTGATGTAACAAAGAAAACATCATTGGATGTGCTGTTGACTAACCTCATTAAGGGGAATCTGCTCCCATCCGCTCTCCTCTGGATAACCTCCCGACCAGCAGCTGCCAATCAGATTCCTCCTGGGAGTATCCACCGGGTGACAGAGATACGAGGGTTCAGTGATTCCCAGAAGGAGGAGTATTTCAGGAGGAGATTCAGTGACCAGAGCCTGGCCAGCAGGATTATCACACATGTGAAATCATCAAGGAGCCTCTTCATCATGTGCCACATACCTGTGTTCTGCTGGATTTCAGCCACTGTTCTTGAGAGGCTTTTTAGTGAAACTGACAGGGGAGAAATTCCAAGGACTCTGACTGAAATGTACACACACTTCCTGATCTTTCAGACAAGTTTAAAAAATGACAAGTATATGAAAAACTGTGAAACCAAGCTTAAGAAATACAGCAAGAAATTCCTTTTAAAACTGGGGAAACTGGCTTTTGACAACCTTGAGAAAGGCAATCTCATATTTTATGAGCAAGATCTGACTGGGAATGACATTGATGTCAGTGAAGCTTCAGTTTACTCTGGAGTGTGTACAGAAGTCTTTAAGAAGGAATATGGGTTGTATCAGGAGAAGGTGTACTGCTTTGTGCATCTGAGCATCCAGGAGTATCTCGCTGCTTTATATGTGTTTCTGTCAAACTCATCAGCTGACGTGCTGAAGACCTCAGTGGATCAAGCATTAATGAGCAAGAATGGACACTTGGACCTCTACCTCCGCTTCCTCCTGGGCCTCTCAACAGACTCCAGTAAGACTCTGTTACAAAGGCTACTGGGCCTCTCAGCAGACTCCAGTATGACTCTGTTACAAAGGCTACTGGGAAAGACAACAACCAGCTCACATGACATTAAAGAAACAGCCCAATACATCAAGGAGAAAATAAAGGAGAATTTATCTCCAGAAAGGACCATCAACCTGTTCCACTGTCTGAATGAGCTGGGTGACAATTCTCTAGTAGAGGAAGCACAAAGATACCTGAACTCAGGACGTCTTTCAGCAGAAGACCTCTCACCTGCACAGTATTCAGCTCTGGCCTTTGTGTTACTGATGTCAGATGAGAAGCTGGATGTGTTTGATCTGAAGAAATTCGTCAGATCAGATAAGGAGCATTGGAGGCTGCTGCCTGTGGTCAAGACATCTAGGACAGCTCTGTAAGTGAGGATGTGAAAACGTATCTTGTCTGGCAGTAACAGATTAACATTGTTTAAATTATGTAAAATATACATTTTATTTCTCCATGTGGATTAATACCTGGGCTGGATTTTTTTTGACAATCTGGGACCCAGATTTTATAACGACTGAGGGTAGTGATGTAGTAAAAAACAAAGTGACATTTCCATGACCACCCAGTGTGCACCCTATAGAAAGAAAAGAGGGCTCTTTATCTGGGGGGTTTATGAGTGAAATGATCCTTTATTTGGAAGTACAGGTACATTGTAATGCTTCTCTTCTCACTCTCCATGAGAGACACAGACACATTTACAGGTGACACCAAGCTTAGGGTCACAGCACAGGGTCAGCTGACATCCAGCAGCCCTGGAGCTGGGGGTTAAGGGCATCGATCAAGGGCCCACAGACATGTGACTGTTCTGCTGAGTGTCTGACCAGCGATCCTCCAACCACAGGCACAGAGGCTTAGCCTGCTGAGCCACACACCAGCCCCACACACATGGTATGCGAGTGTTACTGTCGGCAGGTGTGTCCATGTGATGGAGCCCAGAGCTGGGAGCTTCCAGAAGTCTGCTGTCGTTGACTGCTCACTGGCGCCCTCTGCTGGCCACAGCTGCTCCTGGCATGTGTCGACACATCTAGTCTGGCCATAACAGATACATTTTAAAAAAATATATATAATTGATCTGTAGAAATATATAATTTACTTCTGGAAGAAGTATTTCTGTAAATACTGGGTGTGGTACGTGACTCTGCGGGTTCGGACTCTGTGCCTGTGAGTGGAGGTTGCTGGTTCAGATCTCCTTGCTGGCAGTGATGTCATCGCTGGGCCCTTGACCAAGGCCCTTAATGCCAGTGGCTGCAGGGGCGCTGGATGCTGGCCGACCCTGTGCTGTGACCCCAAACTTCCTCTCATCCGTTTATGTGTCTATGTGTCTCAAGGAGAGCCAGATGGGATTAGCAAAAAGAGAGTTTCCCCCACAGGGATGGATGAAGTATCACTATTTATAATTTTTTTTAAAACAAATACATCTTTTAAAGCCATATCTGTAAGAACTGGTAGTTCTGGGATTAGTGTGTAGGTGATTTGACAAGTTCCCCGATATAACAATAGAGAAAAAAGGATTTCATTCATGGGATCAGGAATTGAAGAGTCATTAAAAAAAATCATGCTCCACTGAACATCCTTCAAATCTCACATAAACACACACACATATACACACATTCCAGGCAGGAATCGAACCCGAAACCCTAGATCAGGGGTGCCCAAATCCAGTCCTGGGGGGCCGGAGCCCTGTGTAGCTTAGTTCTTTCCCTGTTCCACCATAAATTATTCAGCTCAAGAGCTGTGTGGTAATTAGCACAAGGAGTTGAATCAAGTGTGTTAAATGAGGAGAAACCCAAAAATGTGCAGGGCTCTGGCCCTCCAGGACTGGAGTTGGGCACCCCTAGTCTAGATGGTCGGCTGTAGTGCTGATCACTGAGCCACAGCGCTGCCCAGAGCTTTATGAAAATACTTATGCAGATATTAATGACCCTCAGGGTAACTGGCCCTTTAAGATGATTAAAAAGCAGTTTGGAGTTGGCTACAGTGTTTCAGAAATAATGATCTGTCTTGGACATTGAAACAACAAAATTGCTGTTATTTTTTAAATAATCTGTCATTGAATAAATTGTAGAGCATATTCACTCTCATGGCCTCATCTAACAGAGCTAGATTTAATAATAACACGTACAGAACAGAATTAGTGAATATGGTCTATTTGATATGTAACTTTAATAGTCATAAACCACATTATATTACCACACACACACACAATATTATGCAAAAATTTAACATTAGTCTTTATTTGTTTGTTCTATCACAATAATAACTAACAGTAATTTCTTCTGTTCTCCAAAAAGTTCCAAACCTCTCCTCAGGGACACCTTAGCCATTCCATGTATTTGTAAAATTTCATCACCAGCTCACTTAATTCACTAATTTAACTGGTTAAGAAAAGTCAATGAGGTATTGATTAGCTATAGATGTGTTACTGGTCAATAAAAAAAGATACATGGGTGTATTGGATGGCTACTGCAAATACTGTGGAGACTATAGGAGATAATAATATATGAACAGATATAGTTTGAGGCAACTGGTCAAATATATTCCCATTAACCGTCCAACTTACTTCATTTACAAATTCTCTACCCTGGTCTGAAAGGATTCGTTTAGGGCATCCATGTCTGTATATAAGTGTGCACAGATGTCTTGTAACTTCAGCAGCAGACTTGGTCTTCAAGGGAAAGACCTCAGCCCACTTTGAAAAGTAGTCTGTTGCTGTTAATATGTACTGGAATCCATGTGCTGTTTTTGGAAGCGGTCCAGTTATATCGATCTCAATAAGTTCCCAGACCTCAGACACCTATCAAAGCAATAGCATGCATCAATGGATATAGTTCATACATTACCTGACTGCTATTGATCTGATGTTCTGGAAGTGTTTACCTTAATATACTGCAGTGGTTGCATGTCAGTCAGAGGTTTTCCAACTTTTTGGCAACTATCACATTCCAAAACCTTCAAACAAAACACACATTTTAAACATGATTATGATATGTTGCTCATGTAATTATTTTCAGGGACAAATACATACCCAGTTTTCAATGTCTACTGACATGCCTTGCCAGTAAAATCTCGAACACATGGCCACTCTTGTTTTTATAATGCCTGTATGTCCACCAATTGGGGCAGAATGAAACTCCTCAAACAGCCTTTCTTGCTTCCTGTTTCTCCTAAACCACCCATCTGTTACCGAAGAGGAGTTCTCCATCTACATAAAATGATATACAAAACCATTGAATGTCAGTATTAATAGAAAAAAACAAAACATTTACCTTTGTTACTATAATACTAACCTTTTATCTTGAACCTTGACACGTATCTTCGCAAGTTTTGTCTTTGGGATTTATCATATCCCAGAGGATATTTTCCCGAAGACAGATAGTCAAAGATGTCACTCCACTTCTTTTACATAACTAAAATATGCGTAGTTTTTTGCTTGTTAGTACATATACAAAAAGTCAACATAATGTAAATTTTATAAAGTGTTTCAAAACATCAATCAATCGATATATGCCTTAATTATAGTAAGCAAAAGTCCAACGAACGCCACATGCAGTGAGTTAAGCATAACCCAGTACTACTTTTTCTTGCAAAAATCTCACAATTAGCATGCAATATCAGAAGATTTTATTTTACTATTAAAAACATGTAGTTGCGAGCTGGTGGAATTAAAACAAATTAATTTATAAAATGAGTAAAGCTATGCTGAGGTGTGTACGTTTTGGTGAATCATAGCAGGTTTTGTGGTTCAATTAACTTGCTGGACAGTGTGGATGGGGAATGTCAAAATGTGACCTTAAAGCATTGTTAAAGAGCTGCATAATCATTTACACGTCTTGGTTACACTTCACAGCTTCAATTATGACAAAAAACACTTTTCAACTACGTAAACTTAATTGAGCTGTACTTGGGGATCTACTTACCGTGCTCTCACTTAGCTGCTAATCATTGAAAAACACGTGGCGGTAGGAAGACTTTATGGGTGTGCAGCCACAAAAAACTGAAATGGCCATGCACGTGCACAGCAGCCTTTGGTAGGAGGTATCGAGGGGTAGGATGAAATGACAGAACACCTGCGATCGGACCGAGTTACGATGATCTCGCAACCACTTACGTGCATACACACACATGTGCAAACACACACCCATGCATACACACGTGCATACACATACACACCAACTCTCGCTCTCTCCGGGTGTTTCACATGATATACGTCGATGTTGCCATAGCTATATGGGAACATATTCGGGCATAAATGAGGGCACAGCACTGGTGTGCCTAGTCATAAAATGGTGTTGCACTGTCTACAAAAACGTCACAAAATGCGGCTAATTGGTCGAAGTCTGGTAACATGTGAAGCCACACTTTTGATTTCTTAGGCTTTTTACACTATTTGAAGAACAAAAACAACAACAACAACAACACACACACACACGTGAACCGGTTCCCAGGTTTGTCTCCGGACATACTTTTCTCTATTACGTGTTTATGTGACGTCACATTAGACAGCCAATCAGCAGCGACTTTACATCTTTACACAAGCATGCAGCATGCTTATTAGCTCACAGTTGCTGAGATAGTGTTTCGGTATCGGAATTTGGCACCGAAAGAGAATAAATTTTTCGATCCTTGATAGGATCGGCGCATTTTGGTCGGTACCACCAAATTAGCTAAGTTCGATACCCAGCCCTACTTTGGGGAAACCTGGCAGAATGATGGCTGACAACTGCAGTGGAAGCTGTTTCATTGGTCTGAATATGTTACAGGAGGATTCACATGTAATTTTCACATAGTAGTTTCTCATGCTTTGAACTCTCACCTGGACTCCTTGGGGATGATTATCTGGAACCAGCTGGGACTTTTAAACTATATGGACTTGAACTCAATTCCAATTTAATACTGAACCAACTTTAGCTTAATGTTACTAGGTGTATCTAAGCATGCGGTGGAAGCAACGACACCTGACGACTATTTTTATGTCATCAAATTAATCATGAATCTTATGCTAATGTTAATGTGAATACATTGTCATGCACCCCAGTCGCCCAGAGGAGGATGGGGTCCCCTTCCGAGTCTTGCTTCCTCTCAAGGTTTCTTCCTGCTAGAGGGAGTTTTTCCTTGCCACTGTTGTCTCAGGCTTGCTTGGTGGGCGTTCGGGCCGGTTATATGTAAAGTGTTTTGTGACAATGGCTGTGATTCAAAGTGCTATATAAATAAAATTGAATTGAAACTGAATACTACACAGTACTATTAGCAATGTAATGGTTGTGTATATGGCTGTGTCTTAAAATGTTTTATTTTCCAGGTTGGACAGCTGTAATCTCACAGAGAACTGCTGTGAGACGCTGGCTTCAGCTCTCAGATCAAACTCCTCACCCCTGAGAGAGCTGGACCTGAGTAACAATGACCTGCAAGATTCAGCAGTGAAGCTGCTCTCTGCTGGACTGGGGGATTCGCAGTGTAAACTGGGGATACTGAGGTCAGTATTACTGGGTATTCCACACTGTAAACTGGACATGCTGAGGTCAGTATTACTGGGTATACCACACTGTAAACTGGAGATGCTGAGGTCAGTATTACTGGGTATTCCACACTGTAAACTGGAGATACTGAGGTCAGTATTACTGGGTATTCCACACTGTAAACTGGACATGCTGAGGTCAGTATTCCTGGGTATTCCACATTGTAAATGAGATATACTGAGGTCAGTATTACTGGGTATTCCACACTGTAAACTGGAGATGCTGAGGTCAGTATTACTGGGTATTCCACATTGTAAATGAGAGATACTGAGGTCAGTCCTATTTGACAGTTCAAATACTAAACTGGTACTTTAATACAAAGTATGACAGCTGCAAGGCAAGTCAGCCAAGGGAACTGCTGTACTCACACCATTTCATTCCCACTAGGCATGTGTAGATTTCAGCTTTTATTTGGTTTTTATGTTTTATATTTTTCAGAAAAGTGGATATGACGCTCTGGTGCCAGTTTTATTTTGAAATCGTTATACTTGTTCTGCTGTGTAGTGTGTACTAGAGTCAATACATGGGCTGGAATTTTCACAGCAGAGGAACCTAAGTGACGTTTCCTCAGGTGGAATTACACCAAATAATTAAATACACTTTTATCTTGGGTACCTGCTGCATGGGCCCCTTCCTGTGTTACATCAGCCGCCTGTCAGCTATGATAGTCCTGTAATCAGCTCTCACTGTACTGTACAGATCTGTGTGGACCACAGCGTTTAAAATGTTCATGTGCTAAGGTCTCAAACAGAATTACTGTAAATTGTGTTGCATCCATATATTTTGTTCCAAATGATATTTAACTTAATAATTTCTTCAGTTTTAATACAAAACAAGCCAGACATCAGCAGGGTGGAACGAGAACTAGCACAACCTGACAGGCCTGCATTAGCTACTGGGGATGTTCACATCTCCTCCTTTCAGAGTTACTAGTCAGTTTGGGGAAACCTGGCAGAAAGATGGCTGACGACTGCAGTGGAAACTGTTTCATTGGTCTGAATATGTTACAGGAGGATTCACATGTAATAATCACATTGCTTAAAATCATAAATCTCCATTATTGAAATGTAACCTTCTATTTATGTAAAGGCTGAAATGAAAACATACGATGTCAGTTATATTTGTCTGGAGAAGAAGGGGAACTTTTTCTAGAAAATTACTTGAAAAGCTTTAGGTCAGCTACAGTTGCAGTGGGGGTGTCTAAGCTTTTGACAGCCACTGTACACATACTGTATTCACCAGCTGCCAGTGATTTCACAGCTAGAACATGGCAGACCCTGTACCCCCCCTCTCCTTGGGGGGATCGTCAGTGACTCTCCTAGACAGTCAGATGGGGGTGATTCCCAGCTCTGGTCTGATCATGGTTCAGGATGTGAAGGTTAATCTTCCCAAGGTTAGTCCCCTCTGGTGGGTAAGGAGGCAGGAGACACAGGGTTGCAGTGGACACCCCCAAAGGGGCAGTGTTTCTTTTAGGGGTGAAGGGGGTACATTTAGAAGAGGCAGCTTAAGGGCAGCCAGAATGTGGAGGCTATAGCTCCTTGCTCACACGGCTGGGCCCGGCTCCTTGGCCGCTGGCTGAGCAGGCGGGATGCGGCAGTCCCTTCCCGGGTGGTTATCCTGCAGGCGGTCTGTGTTCAGAGAGACGACAAGCAGGCTGCTCACCTGAAATTTTGTGATTTCCTGTCTATAGGCTGTCAGGCTGTAGAGTCACAGAGGAAGGCTGTTCTTCCCTGGCTTCAGCTCTGAGGTCAAACCCCTCACACCTGAGACAGCTGGACCTGAGCTACAATCACCCAGGAGACTCAGGAGTGAAGCTGCTCTCTGCTGTACTGGAGGATCCCAGCTGTAAACTGGAGAAGCTGAAGTGAGTACAGAGTGTGTGTCTGACACACTACAGATACTTATGCATGAATTTGAAGAAGAAGCACCAATAAATAAATGGATACAGCAGTACTATGTCATTCTGCTTCTCCTATAGTGTGGACCACAGTGGAGAGTGCAGGACCAGACCAGGCTTACAGAAATGTAAGTGTGTTTGCAGGTTTTTATTAATAATAATATGTTATGGTTGTATTCACACAGTTGTTGTGTTGAGTGTGTTTTCTGCACTGTATATAGATGGATTTCCATGTTTGTGTATAGGTGAGTTTCTGTGTGTGTCATTTTAGACAACATCCAAAGAAGAAAAAAAAAAAACAAAACATCAAAATCATCACCAAAAACATAATTAATTCATTTATACTTTAAAAAAATGTATTTTTTACAAATACTTTATAACTGTTCATATCATCTTTGTGTTTGTGAGGGAGCGTAATATGGTTAAAATATATTCTGATGTAGTTGTACATCTTTAATTTCACAAAAAAAGAATCCTTTGCATTTGTTCTTTTTGCACATGCCGTGAGTGTATGTGTTTCCTGTGTGAGATTCGTTAGTATTGTCCTAAGACGGCACCCATAGGCAGTGATACCGAACTCTCTCCTCGTGTGAGATGCGAATTTGCATTTTTACAGGGTGGTTCTGGAACATTCTTAATATTCATGAGAGAATATTCCTGATTGGTCAGGGAATGCCTTAGACCAGGGGTGCCCAAATCCAGTCCTGGAGGGCCAGAGCCCTGCACATTTTTGAGTTTCACCTCATTTAACACACTTGATTCAACTCCTTGTGCTAATTACCACACAGCTCTTGACCTGAATCCTTTATGGTGGAACAGAGAAAGAACTAAGCTACACAGGGCTCCGCCCCCCCAGGACTGGATTTGGGCACCCCTGCCTTAGACAGAAAAAACAGGCGTCACATATCGATGTTAACTGACCATTCAGGTAGTGCTCCTCTCATAAATATTAATGAGCCAGCCAATCATGTAAGGCTTCTCTCATAAATTTTAATAAGATTTCCCGAACCATGGTGCTAAAAGAAATTTGCGCCCGGGACACACTGGATGTGCGGCGAAAAATATAATTTCTTTTCGGCGCCGATGTTAACAGATTAGAGCGGCCACGTGCCTGGGCGAAATTTCGGAGTCTAGAGTCACGCGCGCGGTAAGCGGTTCTCTACGGAAGTGTATTGCATTCATCTGAAAAACAGTCAATTTTGTTTTTTCCGAATTAATGAAATAACCATCCTGTTTTTCTGAGTAATATTTTTCTGTTTTTCATATTGCATGATCTGTGTAGTTTAATCCGCTTTTATTGATGGTTTGTAGACGGTATTATCATTAGTTTGCCGACTTGGCGCGGCACCTATTCCGCCGCGCTTGACACTGCAGTGTTTCTCCCGGATCAGTAGATACAGTATGACACGCTTCACGGAAATAAGCCGATGCATGTGAAATGCATTCAGAGCGGCTTTACTGTGACTAAAAACCATGTCAGACAATCGCTGCAAATATTGGATCCTCATGGAGCGTACCTCCGGCGCCAGAATCGTCTTCGGAGGCGTTTGTATCAGATTCCAGGTCTAGGTTTTATTAAATATCACTTTAAATATGTAATAATATTACTTATATATTCTGTTATCGATGGTCATTTTCAAAGGTAAACTCCCTGTAGAAATACAGAGAGCAGCAAGGCGGCCGGTTTGTCGTGGCTTTAGCGGGTAGAAGGAAGTTCGTCTGTAAAGTAAATACACTGACTTTTAGTATTAATATCTGGTGCCGTTTTGTGGTAAATATGCTTGTGGTTAATGTGTCTGATGAATGTCGTTGCTTTGTAATTTTATTTACCCGTAATTAAGCTGTTAGTTTAGCTCGCGCAGCATTTTGGCGGCTCTTCCCGCCCGCGTCGTGCGCCGTCTGACATTTCCTGAGCTATTTCATAAACTTCAGTTCCCGCTTCGTTCAGGGAAGCTGTGCTGTTTTTATATTGTACAGAAACATAAAGTACAGGCTGCCTGATGGTATTAATAATTCTCCCTCCTGCCTACAGACTCCTGCCAGCTGACGCTGGATCCCAACACAGCACACAGATACCTGTACCTGTCTCTGTCAGGGGGGAACAGGAAGGTGACATGGGGGGCAGAGCAGCCATATCCTGATCATCCAGAGAGATTTGACTGCTGCACCCAAGTTCTGTGCAGAGAGAGTCTGACTGGCCGCTGTTACTGGGAGGCTGAGTTGGATGGAGATGGAGTCCTGATAGGAGTGACTTATAAAGGGATCAGGAGGAAAGGAGGGAGGGACTGTCTGCTTGGATTCAATGACAAGTCATGGAGTCTGGATTGTAATCCTTACAGTTACTCTGTCTGGCACAATGATAAACAGACTCTCATACCCATAGAGCCCGCAGACTCCCGCAGAGTAGGAGTGTATCTGGACTGGAGGGCTGGTACTCTGTCCTTCTACAGAGTCTCCTCTGATGGACTGACCCCCCTGTACAGATTCACCTACTCATTCACTGAGCCCCTCTATCCAGGGTTTCGAGTTTATTATAACTCCTCAGTGTCACTGTGACGTGTTGCTGGTTCTCCTGGCAAAAAGGTAAAATCTCTGCTTTTTAACCTTAATAATCCTTTTTACTCTGAAATGTATGTTTGACAAAAATAAGTTTTTCTCTCTGACTAAAATGTAACTAAATATTATCCTGATGAGTTGGGGGGGGGGGGCTTTTCCCCTGTTTATGTACATTTTATATATTTATGTCTATTTACTGCATTTCCTCCCTGTACAATGACAATAAAGGCTTTCTGTTCTGTCCTATTAATGCCCTGCTTCAGCGACACCCAAAGCATAACTGAGTAACATAATGAAATCACAGTCTGGTGGATTAAATTAAATAAATTCACTTTACTACTCACACAATGAGAGTAAATCAGTGTAAATAGTGATCATTTAACTGGAGACATAACAGAAACATATAATTATATCCTGTTACTGCTCTTGTTCAGTGGATTAAAGTAAACAAAATTATTATTAATTTATGTGATTAAATAATAAAATGTCTTTTATTAGATAAATACACCCTCACCCCCCCCACTGTAGAAGGTCTGGCATCACCCCCGTTGGACAGAAGGGGCAGATGCACAGGTACGCTTACTCCCCCACTGTAGAAGGTACCCCCCCATGTGCGTGACACAGAGAAATTGATACATAGATACTCTATCCAGCTCCGCAGCTGTGGAATGGTCTCCCGGGGGATGTGCAGGATTCAGGCACACTCTCGCTTTTCAAGTCTAGATTAAAAACGCACTTGTATAGTTTAGCCGCGTATAGGAATCCTAATTCTGGTTCCAGCTAGTCGCTCACTCCCAGTCAGACTAACAGTATGAGGTGATGAGCTGGGTGGGGATCGGTGTCATTGGCTTTGGATAAA